CAAATTCCCACCAAATTCACCAAGGGTTTGACGTGGACTTAGAAGATGGGATCAACCGCACAGGGCATCTTTTGCCTTGACAATATATGTATTTCAGCATAGCATTGTACGTAGTAGTCTAAAGGTCTCTCAGAATCTCTRTTACCTCAAAAAGCAGCATCCTTGTTAGACTGAGCATCAGTCATGTGGACTTTTCATAGAATTCCTAAAACCTCCTCATTTCCTAAYGGTTTGGGACAGATGATACAAAACACTTCTGTTTCTACATGGGAATTGCATGCAAAACAGTCAAAACTTCTCCACACACAGGTCAAATGTGCAAGAACAGTGTAAACCATAATCTCACCTTTCTGCCAAACCTAACCCAGTAGCTCTAAAGTCTCAAAAATAGTGTAAGAGAGCGATTTGGGATGTCCTAGGGGCAGCTATAACCAAATTCTTTCTATTCTAGCTCCTCTGCTTTTTCCTGGATTTATTATCACAAAGTTTTACTTTAGAAACATGRAGCAGGATGGCTGAGGACAATTTAACAACTTCTACGAAAACCCAGACAAACTTTATGTAGAAGTTGCTTACTAGACCTCTGTATTTAGACAGAGATAGATCTTGAAGATCTAGATTTTGTATATCTCTTCCCTCCCATATTTTAGGAAGACTATTTTATCCATGTCCTGCCTTGCCATTTCCACACACTTATTTCACTCCAGCTCACTCAATATCCCTGCTTCAGAGTCAGCCCCTCCRGGTGCTGCTTGCTGCTTACAGATCTTGTCACAACTGCAGCAGGGGTAAGAAAACACTTAAGAAACCCTTAGCCTCAGAACCAGCTTGATTTCTTAGGTTACTAGGTATTTCCCATAATAATAACATAAAGCTCATGGCTTAACCTCCCACAGTTCTTTGTCCTCACTTTTGTCCTCACTGGAAGTTACATTTCAGGTACTTTTTGAAAAAAAAAAAATGTGGCAGAAAAGTACTTTAAAAAAAAAATCAACTCTACCTTTTCTTCTTCTAGGTCTCAAATAATATGTTCTGTACTGGATCTCTGCTACTCTTTTCCCTCAACAGCTGTTTCTGGCACCCCAGGAACAGCCACACTTCCCTAATTATTCCTCTAAGGCAATTTGTAGCTCAGTGCTACTTTGCAGGTTGAGTTTATTRCTTTTATGACGACAGAAGTAAAATTTATCTAACGGAAAACAATTACCTTTGAAGGGAAACAAAGTTCYGAAGCTGTTACAACGTAACCCGGCTATATTGTCCCTCAGCATCGAAGGTTTTGCTAGGAGCAGAGAAACAAGCAGAGCTGTGTAAGATGCCTGGTTGCTTTAAAATCCTTGCTGGAGCTTTACTGCCTCTATCAGAATTAATCCTAGTTGATTTGTGGGCCTCACTGTGGTTATCAGAGTTGGTTGCTAGAATAAGGTTGAAAATACAAATAAGAAATATGCCTGGAAGTCATCTGAGATTTTTTTTTTATTATTATAGGAATATAGGGATACTTTTTTCTTTCTTCTTAATCACAGACTTATTTTCACAGCTTTGGAGGCCAGCAAAACTCCTTGGTGAAATTATTTCCAAGTCATCTTAGTCCATTCATTACCTTCCCTAAAGTTAACATAAGAATCCTCCACTAGTTTGCATAAAAACCTTTGTGTTTAAGAGATGTGGCATCCCCTAAAACGCTCTGGAAAGAACTACTGACCATTTTATACAGAAATTTCCCTCCAGTATTTCCAAGATAGTAACTATTTGGCTCTCATGTGGCTGTTATGATGACCAGCATAAACTCAAGGCAGAAAATTTCACTCAAAGCAGTGAAACGCTTTAGAGAAGTCCTGATCAGAATAAGCCTAAATRAGCTACCCGCCAGAAAGTGCAAGTATTCAGCTTGTTTCTCTTTTAATGTTATAAATCTCTACCAGGAGGGTAGCAGCTTGCACAAGTAGGAAACGAAGTCCGCAGGCAGACGCGCGTTCGTTGCTCAGTAGGAACTCCATAATGCCTCATTGCCATCCTGCCCGAGCCAGCTGACAACAAACATCCATTCCAAATTTTCCTGCGTTCCTGAGGACACACCAATGCAATGAGGAACAAGCACCTCTGCAACAGAACTGCCACGCTGCTGTTTCTAGAAGGTTCTTTCCTAATCTTACAGTCCCTGCAAAGAAAGGCAACAGTTCCCACGAACACCACAATGAAGACACTTGTTCTCAGCATCACGTTCCGTATCATAATAATGAGGTGTTCCACAGCTGTCTGTTTTTATCAGCTCTAAAATAGCTCATGCAAATCCAGATATTTCTAAGTGAGTCCTATTGATGGCCTCTCAAAAGCATCTCCAAGCTACAACTCTGAATCCTCTGAAAAAAATGTGCTAGTGAAGGCTAAAAGACTTACTTTGCACCTGATGCGTCAGAGTTACTAYGATTAATCTTACAGAAAGTCTGTGTCTGAGCCTTGCCTCACTTAAGCCCTTCCACTGTGTGTCCCCAAATGACCCTGACCAAGGCCACGTGCACTGACATTTCTGTGCAGTTTGGTTTGCCAGTCCTGCTAACTCCCCTGCCTTGCTCTGCGCAGCGCGATCTGCACAAGCCAGAGCAGGACTCTCCAGCTGAGGCAACGGGAACCAAATGGGCAGGAAAATACTGTGACCTCAAGCAAAACCTCAGGAAATACAGTTGGGGAAAGAAAGCTGTGCAAGCCTAAATCTGTGCAATCTGTATATAGTAACCAGGATTAATGGAGTTGATTTGTGGGTTAAATACCTACCATACCTCCAGAGAATAGCCCACTGCCATTACCTTTCACTGAAACACCAGCTTTCTGCCTCGGTCTGATGTACACTGTTCAATGGCATTAGGAACCCTGCAGCTGAAGGCAAGTCCACCAATTGCTTTAAAGTGTTAAATTTCTGCCTGTGTTTCAGCATTTTCATTAAAGCTCCAAGACACCTTTAAGGTGAGCTGAAAGATAAACAAAACGGTCTCACTGGTCAGGCAGCACCAGCCGCGCCGACAGGAACATAATGCCCCTCTCGGTCCGTGCCCGGCAGCCTCCACGGCAGCACGYGGCACCCGGGCAGCTCCGGGGGAGCTGGGCTCGCCGCTCGCCTGCGGAGCCAGGCCGCACGCTCGGGCCCTGGGCAAGCTGCACTCGYGTGGGAAAGCGCATGCCCAGCACGGGGGACGCAGCGCTGCTTGCCTGCTCAAAAGCCTTTAGTGCTTCAAACTTGGACAGCAAGGTTTAGAACAGGGCTCTGCCCAGCTACAAGAGCAGCCAGCCCAGGCGGTGCTSAGGTCGGAAAGGGGATACACACGTAGCATAAAAAGACGTGCTGGAAGAGCAAGCTGAATTACAACGTCAAAATAAGCAGCAGTGCCAAACTTGCGGTGTGGTTATAAACAGATGCATAAGAGCCAAGCTAAAAGCCAGCAGTTGTGCCCTAATTCCTTATAATGAGGTCAGTAAAAATGAAGAGAAGTGACTTGAGTGTGTGCTTGAAGTATTTCCTTTCACTGCATAACATTCTGGAACAGCATCCCGCGCTCCCAGGCAGGATGCAGGGATACCCAGCAGCCGTGCGGGAGCGAGGAACAGCAATGCCCCCTTGTGTTAAAAGGGAAGCAAATCCACTGAAATTCCTTGTGTTCTTCGGAAGCACGAGACTAACGTGATCCAAAGAGCAACATCATTTTGTTGTTTAAAACCACACATATGAATGCCAGATGCTCCACTGTCTGGGAGGCAGAATTAGGAATTACTGCTAATGTACCACAAGGGATATATTCAAAATGCTTATAAATGGTAAACTAACCCTTCCATTGTCAAAATGTTCTTTCCATCTAAAATTAGGTGTCTCATTAACTTCAGTCACAGCTATTAAGCACAAACATTAAACAAAAGCCCCTGCCAAAACCTCTTTGATTTTTGATCTCATCTAACTCCAGTGTATATTCTAACAACCTATTTTCAATATGAAAATTGCTATKAAAAGGCCCTAACAAATGAACTCAGGTAGAGTTCCAAATACAAACACTCAGTACAAGCACAAACCAAACCASCAGCCTTGAGCAGGACAGAGCTTCCCTTAAACGAAGCTAGACACGGGCGCAGTGCCCATGCCTGGCAGCCCCCCGACACAGCTGAGGCTGGAGCCGCTAGAAACCCAGAACCCAAAGCACGGCTGCACGCTGAGCACCCAGGCACGCTGCAGTGTCTCAGCACTCACCTAGCAAGCAGGCAAAAGCCACACACAAAGCACCTCCTTCAGAGCTCCCAGACACCAAGCAGAAGGGCCGAGCATTTATTTCCCAGCGACTGCCGCCATCCTGCTTCTAACCACGGACACCTGGGACTCATCTTCCTCTCCTCCCTCCACATGAGCCTCCTTGTTTCGGCCTTTAATATTTGCTTTCTGTTCTGGAACTCACCTCTTCGCCAGCCCCTCTTGATCAGCTCTGACAGTTTCCTTATCCTTAATAGCAGAGTCGAATGCTTTTCACAAGTCTTTCTACCAGCATTTGGACAAGAAATAGCCAGAGATCTAAAGCCTTTTTCCTCAATCTGTTCTGCAAGCATCTACAGCCACCCTGAACCCTTCTGTAGGTGGACAGCTAATAGCAGAGCTTTTGGCAGGGATCAGAATTTACACAACAAAAATAGCATAAAGGTGCACAAACAGTGAAGAGCTTTGTAACAGAAGGAGGGCTGAAAAATATGCAAGCAATTACTCTCCAAATTTAAGTCCCACCTACCAGCAAACATGAACCACACCGATTAATATATACAGGATTCATATCAAGGGACGTTGAAAAAAAWAGTGTGTATATATATAAAAATATAATAATTATATAAACATAATATATAATAATTTATATATAATATGATTTATATTGTGTCTATATATGATATGATGATAATTTATATATTTATAAAAACATATATCTATGGAAAGAAAAAACGCATTAGATTCATAACAAAGAGAAACAACCCACCAGTCGTGGTAAGAAGTGATTGCAATACTTGGAGGCGTCAACAAAGGCAGAGTTGTCGGCCTAGAGATGGTGTCTCTGTCGGGGCTCTTGGCTTTTTCTGTTTGTCTTTGGGATAGCGGGGGCAGCTGCAAATTCCCAGAACAGCATCTTCTGCCTCTCCACAGGTCTATGCCCAGCGCATGGCTAGAGGTGCTGTAGGACTTGCTCAGCCCACACTCCAGGTAATCCAGGGCATTCTGAAAAGGCAGGAAGAGCCACTGGAGATGCGCACCCAAGTGCTTTTCTTGGTAAGAATACAAAGCATTCACCGATGCTGCTCTGCAGTCACAGCTGCTCACTACAGAGCGCTGTATTATGAAGTCCTGGCAAACTTTGGACTGATTCACATGCTTCTTTTTAAAAAAGTTCTAAATTTTCAAATTAATTCATAAATCTAAGATAAAATCAATATACAATTCTGAATGCTTCCATAATCCAAGTCACTTTGTAGACATGTTAGAACTTCTGATATTTTAAACTTAAATATAACTTCAACTTAAATATACTCCTTTCAGCATTCACCAAACAATCTTTTCTCTGCCCACCACAAACGCATCAGTTGGCTATATTTTTCCTGATGATTCTTTGGGCAGAAAGACAAAACTGAGATTTTAGCTCCAAATAAAATTGCTCAATACAAATGAGAATGTTTCTGTACTGTGCCTGTTGTGCCGGTACCAGCAGCTGGAAGTTACTATAACATCTGTGCATGGCAACTCCTCACATTTTTCCTCCTCTAGCTGCTCCTGTGCTTTACCTCTGTCCTGCTCTCTGCATCCRCCTAGAGCATCCAAGCTCCTTCCCATGCACTTGTCCCTATCAACTGGTTCCCCCATCAGCTCTCCAGTCAGCACAGTCCCAAATGTGGAAAGATCTAGCTGAGCTCTGAGAAAACAGAGTGTCAACTGGGGAGCTGCTAACTTGGAAAACGAACGGGTGTCTAATTGTCTGCAACCAGTTACCAGGTCCTTTGCGAGGCCAGCTGCAAAGTGCCATGCATCTCCCCTGCCTTGTTGTGTCCAGCATAAAGGACATGGGACTATTAAGGAAACAGCTCCATGGTGCTCCTCTTAGCCCTGCTTCTTAGCTCAAGAGCCCAGAYTGGTAGAAGAACTGCACATAAACAAACTTCTCACCTCTCTCAGTTTGCTCGCCCCACCTACAACCACCCAAAGCATCCACACAGGAAACAACACGTCCCAAYGCTGCTTTACTCCTTGCTTATAGCCTGAAGTGCTATAAGGAGGTTGATTCAGATTCATTAAGTTATTAAGACACCAAAATCATAATGAGCTACATAGGAGCTTAAGTATTTGTCATGCTGCACTTCCATAAATACGCTTGAGATCTGCAGTGATCTAAACCCTCCTTTTCCACAATTCAAAATTGTCCTCAGGTCAAAAATAATCCTAGGAACCCAGAAGGGAAAGCCAGTCTTCTATATGGGGATCTGACTCMATCTGCCTTTATTAATAATTTTCAGAAGACTGCTTAAAGAATTTTTTAAAAAAATACACAGCAGAAGSACACTGTTCTAACTCCTCATCACTGTTCTAACTCCTTGGATTTCAAATGCCTGCCTTTGTTATAATCAGCAGGCACAGACTGGATTCCAGCAAACCCAGCATCACACGAGGCAAACTGTCTATGAAACAGTGCAGCATACGGCTCGGGCGCTGTGGAATCACTTTGCTCTTGCAGGACTGCTATGAGCTGCACCAACTCCCAGGTTCAGCTCCTCTGCTGTGTTTTCCTAWACATTTCGGGCAGTTTTCCATTTTCAGAGAGACCAAGCTGTGACAAACAACACAATTAATGCTGCAGTTATCACGCCATCATTACAAATTGATGCCTTTCTCCAGAGAACTGGAACTGGAGTTTAATTAATAGGGGATTATGACAATGATTAGCAAGGGTAGCAATGGAATGACACTGCATCATCACATCAGGTGTTCAGCAACTAGTAATGAGAGTTGCTAAGTGCTTATAAATCTAAACAGAATAGCACAATCACAAGGACTGGACCCAGAATAGAATTCAAATAACATATAGGAATGTTTAGTCCCTGGTGTTGGCCTTTATCTTGCTGACSAAGAATTATTAAAATACATAAGAAGACCCTGAGAAATTTAAGTGTCTTGCTTGCGTGTTTTTGTCATGTGTGAGCCTTAGCTTCTGCTTATTACATTAGCTCTAAGCAGCTCTAGGGAAAGCAACAAGCAACTGAAGCCAACAAACACTTTCAAGAATAAACAAACTTTTCATCTGACTTTCATAAAGTATTGGGAAAGAAAAAACAGTCTTGTAAAACCTACCTCGTCTGCAGTTACTGCCATGACACTTCTGCTTTTCTTCATTATAGAGACAAAGGGGAGCCCCGTTAGTAGAACTGCTCTTGTTCAATACAATTTCTTCAGAGGGGCAACCTGAAAGAAAACATCATGGTGGTTGTATTTTTCAATAATAATCAAGCCCTTATTCAGAAATGTAACATAGAGAGTCTCAGGGAGTCCTCTGAGTTTGCTCTAATAGAAGTCAGAATGAAAAATAAATAAGAAGAGAAACTGTATTTGCATTCCATTTTAGGCTCTAAATCCTAACTCACAAACATAGGTTATTTAGTCATATACTGGCACATATACAACACTTCAGCCACTGAATTACAGTGTTCTGTAGAAGAAGCCACTGCACCCACTTTGATTTACAGTACTGTGTAAATCTGAGAAGCCAAACGCAGTCGAGCAGCTGACAGAGCCCAGGAAGCAGCACACGGGACCCGTCGGCCTTGGAGCGCTGCCCGAGCACCTCGTCCTTTCTCCCAACCGACTCAGTACTCGGGGAAAAGCGACAGGGGCAGTGATACAGGCAGAACACGGAGTATTTTTCCTCCAACAATCAAGGAGRGCTGCTGCACAACTTTCTGTGGACTGTCAAAGTGCTCTAACACGTTTTAGAGGAGCCTGTCAAGAAAACCCAAGACTTCCATTAGTCATGACTAAATTATCATTAAAATTTGAGTCACTCTTTCCTTATTTCCTAACTTATAGTACCTAATATTCGTGATTACTGACATCTAGGAAGAAAGAAAAAAAAAAAAAAAAGAAAACCCACAAAGAGGCTTAAAAAAAAAAAAAAAAAAAGAAAACCCACAAAGAGGCTTAGGTGAAACTTCTGCTGTGCACGTTTCCTAGTTCACGTAATCATCTGTTTCTGGCAAAGAGGTTCTTTCTACTACCGCACATCTTCAAGAAAGAAACTTTATCCCCGTGGGCTAGTTAAGTAAGGGTAATAGAGAATGTCTAACGCATCAAAGTTGCATTTCACACTAGACTACAAAGGAGGCACTCTTCAGTGGTGCGGTCGGGTCTACTCAATTTTGCCAAAATCTATGTTTTAGCTAGCGTAGGAGACCTCTCCTTGCACCACACTGACCTAGTTCTTCCACCGGAGCATTTTAGAGCCCAGCGAGAGCATTTTTCAAGAATTGCGGTAAGTGCTTCGGTAATTTCAGAGTGGTGCTGACCTATCCTAAAGGTATGAATTAAGTGTTTTTGAAACTAGCAACCCACAGAGATGAGGAGAAAAGACTATATGACTGCACATGATAAAGTCTGCTTGTCCTCCACACTTCCTTAAAAACAGCTATTCAACTCAACCARAGCGAAATCCTCTAGTTACGGAATTTCCAAAAAGACATTTTAATGTTCAAAACTCAGGTGTGATGTGCAACGCAAGACACACAACCCCCACGTCCCCGTTTTCCCCGCACGTTCTGGCTGCTCCAAGGGCCTGGGCAAGACAGAGCTGCTTCCTCCCGGCCGGGGCCTGGAACGCAGCGAAGGCAGGGCCGGGATCGCCCGTTTTGCTGASTGCACAGTGCTAGTTCTTCGGATTAACGCGGCTTTGGACAAGGCCAGCTGTTAATCAAGGTGGTTTCACGCTCTAAGTTCACCCCTCTCCAGCACTTCTGCAGGGCGAGGCAGGAAGATTTGGAGATGCTGAAAAGCAAGAGGAACCCAGTGAAACGGAGCCCACCCAGCGCACCGCAGAGGACCGTGGCACACGTTGCTGGGGACCAGGCTTTCCCTGGCAGCAAACTGCTCGGCGCTCCCGGTTCAGCACAACCGAAACATGAGCAGGGATAAAAACACAACCCCGAACAGTGAATTAATAGAGAGGCTTTACTAAAGAAAAGGCTGGGATGAAGGAGATTATCTGATCACACAGATACATCATTTGTGAGCTGGGATAACATTCAAAAAACGYAGTTCTCTTTAGGGATCATCAGAACTTCAGAGGGTGAAATATATGCTCAGATGCGGTGACAGTCACTAAAAAAGCAGTAACCTCAGGTGCACCTCTTCTCCCAGACAAAAACACAGCGTCTTACTTAACAACTGGAAACTGCACAGAATTCTCAAAGGCAAAATTAATCCTATCTGCATTTAGGATTGATGAGAGGCGAGTCGAGATACAAATAGCAATTGATATCTGAGCTGTAATGGTTTTGTATTTTACCTTAAACAAAAGAAGCAATTCTAAAATATTAAAGCATTATCTAGGCCTCAGGTTGCTAAAAAGGCAACTTGTGACTAAGTAAAGAGAGGCCACGGGSCCTGGTTACACAAGCCTGGGGACTGCTCTGTACGCACCACGGCTACCTGCGCCCCGCACGAATACACATTACGTTTACAAACACAGYTCCAATAAGAACTACTAATGTTTCTGCAATGCAATTCTTCTACAACAATTACTGTTTCATTAATTTGACTGTTTTTCAGGCATCACAGACACAAAACCAATGTACGTAACAGTTCATAACCATCCATACCTCTTCTCCCTTCACTAATGTAAGCTCTGGGCTACCTTTTTCCTGTATCAATCCCTAAAATTTAGCCAATGTGACTACTATTTACACGTCCAGTGACTGATACACACGTCCCTRGGAAATGGGGAGGCTGTTCCCAAACAGCCTCTTTCTCTGTTTATTTAGCAAGCAAAACAGTCATTAATTTTTCAGTGGTCTTTTCCCATTTCCCATGAACAGAAACTGCTACACGAGCCTGCAGAGCTTATAGAGCTCTGTGAAATTCGTTCCCCTCTAGGAAAGCTGCCCCATTATAATATTTATAAAACAGTGAACTCCAGGAAGACTAGTTTTAGACTTTACAGCACTACATGAAACAACAGTAACAGCATCTCTTGCGTTAAATGCACGCAATTTGGAAAAACTGACCCAGAAAAGACAGAATTGCCTGGAAGAAAAAAAAAATAGCTTTATTTCTTAGCTGGGCCATTCTCACATCGGAGACATTTACTACAGAAGCACTAACAACCTCCTTCTATCACCCGCCTGGAGAAGAACTGGCTACTTGAGCTTGTCCCCTCCCAAGGATGCTGCAGCTGTAAGTGGCAACCTGTGAATTACAAGTTGAATCTTCAAACTAGGTGTGAACTTAAGTGTGAACTGTGTCTTTAAGCAAGCACCTGTGCAAAGCAATACAGGAGCAGATTTTTCATGTAAATTGGATCGATTCTTTTTCTTCATTAAAAGAACATGCTATGCATGGGATACTCTTCGTACATCTTCAGGCAAGTTGTGTCAATTGGAAAAGTTCTGTGAAAGGCAGAACAGTGCGGAGCCAGATGAAAAGCTTCAGAGAAAACTCCCTGCCCCGGCCCCACTGGTTAAATTACTCTCGTTAACATAATGCCTTAACTTTCATTAGGAGGTTTCTTACTGAGATAGATGCAAGGTTAAGAGGATTGCAAAGACTCATCTTTTCTCTGGCAACCTAATCATTAAAGCTGAGAATAACCAAGTTAGTCTATTCCAGAAATACGAGTAACTCTTTCATTTCCAGGAGAGGCTTCAATTATACTGCCACTGTTCTTCATTTGCTTCAGTTATGATAGGAAAATCAATACTAATTTGAGCATAATATTACATTGTTTACTGTCATTAGGCCAGCCTGCTCTGCAGAGCTCCAATGAAATATAACCAGTATTTTTTCCCCACTGTTACCACCAAGAAAATATTTCATACAGGAAATTTTCAAGCAAACGTTAACAATCTGGGAAGACGAAAGAATTACAAATAAACTATTATATTTTCTTTACTACGCTAATGGCTTTTAAATCTTATGCTTGTAAAACAATTTCTCTACCACTGCGGTCAAAAGCAAGTAATTTAAAAATCGTTTCTGACAGCAACAGAGGATGAGCCTTAATAGTGCTACCTACAGGCGCATACAGGATTCCCGAGGTAATTACAGGTGAAAATGAAGCATACTATTAAAAGGTGCAATTTATATCTCGTTCTTTGTGCAAATGGCTTTCAGAGCTTCCCACTCCACTGAGGGGAACTGAACAGCATTCAGAGAGCAAAGAACTGCCATTAATTATGCTTGAAAAAAAAACCTGTCAATTTAAAAATATAACAGCAAAAAACAGTGYGGCAGAAAAAGCACATAATACAAGTTTTCACTTATAGATTGGTCTGTTGCCTTTTAAAAAAAGAAAAAAAAACCCARAAACTTCATGTTCTTTGTGGTTTTTTTTTTTTTTCTCCTTAAATTAGAAAAAGGGCATGGCTTCCTAAGGCTTGCTTAGGAAGTGCACAGGTGCACAGGTAACAGCGGCACTGCAGCTCCGGCGGGATTAGCACGCRCTGGGGGAACTGCATGGGGAAACCTGCTTCCCGTGTCACTGCTAGCTGGTGCAGTGCTCACCTGCCCTGCACTGTACTGAGCACTCACCTCACCAGCACTGCTTACCTGCCTAAGCTCACTCGAATATTGCTTTAGTCGCAAAAGCTCTAAAATCCTCAGAGGAGCTCTCTTTTCTCTGCTGTTTGTAAGTGGTGAGAGACAGACCCTTATAAACCAAACATTCTTGAAATTTGCATTTTTTTTCTTTGAGAAGAACTCTACCTTGTAAGTAATACTGCAAAAAGATGGAAATGCAAAATCAGATTTGCAAGAGTTTCCTAAGGAACCAGAGTAATGGCTTTGAGATCTACGGAGGTGGGAACGCACAAAGCTTAGCAGAAATATTACCCGCACTCAGACTGCAGAAAAAGAGGCTAAGGGAGCAATCCCAACGCTCCTGCAGGGCTAAGAGCCCAGCAGGCAGCAGCTGCCTGGAATGCCAAGGGGCGCAGGCGGCCGTGGTGCCCGCCGCACCGGCAGGGCTGGAGCTCCCGCACGCCCGCACCGAGGCCGGACGTGCTGCCGGCGGTGCCCATGGCAAGGCTCAAAGCAGGAACGTCGCTGCGGCCGGGGTGRACATCCCCTGAGGGCCCGGACTGACAAGAGGCACCATCGACACCCGCAGAACAGAGACCCAGCGGCAGCCGGGCACCACTCATCCTCTGCCCAGCCTCACGGAGAGGAGGCCGGCCCCGAAGTGCCACCTGGCAAACCAG